AAGACAGATGTATTTCTCCATCCTAGAGACAACTTTCAATAAAATGTGGATTGCCATTAACAATATTCCTTTTAAAGGCTTGAACACGATAGTCCAAAATTTTAACTTCACTTGGTTTGTACTGACTCTTATGAAGACAATCATTAACATTAAAGTTAAGTTTGTTTTCATAATGTCAATAAGACATACCAAGATGTGATCAATTTCATTGCCTGTTATATTTATAGACTATGAAATTAGGAATGTAGCCCAGTGATAGAGCACTTGCCTAGATGGTACGTACATTCAAAACAATAGGTTCAAGCTCTACCACAGTTGGGAGAAAAAAGAAAAAGTAGTAATCTACCACAATGAAATATAGACAGAACTATACCTACTCCCAAAATAAATGGAGTTCAGTTGTTTCAGAGTAAAACAACTAACTGTCTGTTTTTACATTTTGGGGGAGGTGATGGCAATGATCGAGTACATTTCTCAATTCTAAGAAAAACATTATATTTGGTAACTTACAAAGTAGAATTAATTTTATTAATGTCCACATCAGGAAAATTATTCCACACAGTTTGAGCTAGGAGAGGAACTGCACATTATACAATTAATGGTATCTAGAGACAAGTTAAGACTAGTTTTTCAAATGTACATCAGTTCAGTATCAAGTTCAAAATGAATAGAATACTGGAGTTTTCTCTGCAAGAATTAAAAAGTCCATAACCATATGCATGTACACACAATGATTGTACATATGTAGATGAGAAAGATAACAATGAACAAATATTTGAATGCCTTTATATTTGATTGCTTTTGTTTTTATTATAAACTAAGGCATTCATTGAGCAAATACATTTGTATAAAATAAAAGGACACAATGCGACAATAATCTCAAGACACACATACCCTAAAGGGCAAACAAGGATAAGTTACAATGCAATTTCATTCTACCCTAAGTGAGCAATTGCATGTTTTGAATGTAATGCAAATCTAAGGACTCAAAGGCAAAAGAGCCATTTGTGAAACCTAGGTGAAGCTTAACTGCCTTTCCTTCCAACCAATCTCAGCACCACTCACACCAGGCTAAATGAAAGCATCTCAGTATATCTCAAAGTCAGCTCATGATCACAAATACAAAAATTACAGTTTCCTTTCTGTTTTCTGAAGCAAACGGCTAGCAGTAACTGCCCTTTCCATCTGGCAGTCCTTGTCCAAGAGTTTCAATCAACTGTAAAGTGGCCCATATCAAATCTGAAAAACAATTCAGTTTTGCGTTATGATTTGGCTAACCTCAGTCTTTGTGACCTTATAATCTTTTTTACATTGACTACTTAGGGTTTTTTGTGAATCAGAGGTAAATCAAGTCCACAATAAGGTTGCCTGTTGCTGAACCCTAGAAACAATGCCCCGTGCAGCAGCTATAGCCTGTAGGTCCCATTATTCTGACTGGCTAACAAATGTGCAAACTGCAAGGCAAATGTTTTTAAGAAAATTATTTCAGAAAGACTTCCCATTCATATTTTTTGAGAGAGGTTCTTATTCAGAAGCAACCTAAACTGAGACATCAAAAGCCTTTCCTCAGCTGACAAATCACAGGCTGGTTTATCACTCTTCTGGACAGGCTAACAGCTCTACCTGAAGGAAACAAATAGTTCACAAAAACCTTTGTACTCATCATCCATCCTCCTCCAGGTTTGTAGAAACAGTCCACTCAACCATATACCCCAGAGAAGCAGATTATTGAAATGTTTAGTGATAAACAAGTGCTAGGGAATGGCATCCAAACACTCTTGACATATTCACCTTTAGACAGCACACTACATTGACAGACTCAGTCCTAATGACATCAGAACCTGTGGAATGTATGACTGCTAGGAAACACATGCTGCTAAGAAACAGAGAACAGATCTGATGGGCTCTTCCAAGACAAAGACTGCAAATCACTGTGGTAAGAGCTGCTGTAAGGGGAGGGAAAGTATTCTTCAATCCGCAAAAATGTTTTTAAGTCCAGAGACATTCACACAAACCCTCCAGAAAAAAATAAGAAAAGAAAAGAAAAAAAGAAAGAAAGAAAGTTTCTATGGGGTTAAGCCATAACCCTGAAAGTTTTCTTTTTAATTATGAACAGGGTCACTTATAATATTTTTCATAAATATCTTATAAAATATAACTTTATCAAAATTAGGCATCAGTGAATGAATCAGTACTTGTCCTTTGAAACCTATGAAAACCTTAGTAAAAATGTACTTATAAATGAAATGCACATTTACAAAGACATATCCTTTAAAATAAACTAGTCCATAACCATTTTCAACAAACATCAAAGTAATCAGAAGTAATATACAACTAGGTAAGTAATGTATTCTAAATATTACATTTAAAAAGTAGTTATCTTTGCAAGCACAAGTTTATTAAAATGTGTTTATATATGTCCATATGTTGCCCATTCTCCTGCTACTTAAAGGGAGAAGAAAAAAATAACCAGAAAACAACAAAGCTAAGAGGGATTTCAGCCTAACATCCTCCTGATTCCTACACGAATTATCTGCTATCCTCTGTTGGTGACACTGGAAAACAACTGGCAGTCCCACTTGTAATCCGAATACAGATAAATTGGGCGCCAGAATTGCTGATCACTTAGTAACATTCCAGATTGAAAAATGAATTAGGAAGCTGGCTAACCTCTGTTATCTCACAGGCAAATGCAGCTGACTTTCCAAATGCAAAACTACTAATGTGTTTCCTTGCAGATTTTCCGATGTCATTCTTTCACTAGAGATGACAGCACATATGACACCAAAATTAGCAGATCTCCGATTTACTTCAGAGCAAAACACAGAAGGCAGTTTTCCTTCCTGTCAGAGTCTATGTGTCTCCTCATTCCCACCCCCCCACCCCCCGCAGCTGCCTGTAAAGATGTAGAATGAGAGAGGCAAGCAGCCTTCTACTTCCTAATGAATAATTCGCCCAGGAAAGTAAACACAACAGACACCAGCAGGTTAGCCTCTGAGGGAGACGGTGGCAAAGATGCTTACACTGTTGTTTACAATGTTCTCTAACTACTGCAGTCAGGGACCACGGGAGCCTCAGGGAGGAGACACTGGGGAGGTGGCTCCCAAGCCTCCAGTTCTCCCAACTGCTCTATCACTGGTCATCAATAAAAGCAACACACGTTTCTATCCGAGCAAGGAAAGTGGTCAGATAATTCCAAAGACCAGCGATTCTGCAGGCTATACTTGATCACCGCAAATCTGCGAGAGGTGACTACTCTAGCAGGTCCTCATCAAGGCCAATCTGGAGTACAAGGAGCGCTGCGCCAGCGACTCCAAGCATATCACACATCTCCAGGGCAGAGGGAACCTGCCGCCAGGCTTCCTTGCAACCTTACCAGGGGCCCCCCTGGGCCTCCTCAAACCAGATTTTCCAGCTAAGCTGATCCCAAGAGATCTCTATGAACAAGCTCCACTCAAGTAGCTTCAGGTCTCTCATCCCCGCCACCCTAGGCGCTCAGGATCCTGTACACACAGATAACACGCACGCGACCCCAGACCACTACCCCTACACAGGGCTGAACTGCTGGACATCCGGTATGCTCAGCAGCCACCTCTCCAGTAGAACCAGAGGCTTGATAGTGCTGGTCCCGCATTCTGCTTCAGCCCAGAGACTGTTCATCTGCCAAGCGAAGCCCACTCCTCTACCTGTACCCTGCCACCAGAGCCACCAGGGCTCTGCCCACTGCACCTTAGCGTCGTGGACGCCCCAACCATTGAACACCCTCTCTGCGTCGGGTGCTTACTCCCAGCACAGCTTAAGGCAGTGGCAGCCAAGAAAGTGGCAGCTTTCTCCAACCAGTCGCCCAACAAAGCCTAGGCACTGAGATCCAAACCAAACTGCCATGAAGGGGACACACAAGAGGAGGCAAGGCGATTCCACTTCTCGGGGGCGCGACCTGGGCAAGCTGGGCCACCTTGGATGCTCCAAGGCAGACAGACGTCCAGGGAGGCTCAACACCCTGCATTCGCCATCACCCCCAGTCCGAGTTCCTTCCTCACCGGGTCCCTGTTTGTCCTCCAACCGGTTCCCACCTCCAGTGTTGCTCCAGCCTTAGTGGAGAAAAGGCGCCCCCTTGGCTGATTTTTGCTCCTACCAAAGGACAACATTTGGGTGACTAGGGAGGGAAAATGTTCGGGGTGGGATTCGTTCTTGTCACCCGGCGTATGCGACTGCCTGTGCGCGGGTTTTCCTCTTCCCTATATCTCCCTCTGTCACCACATCGCCGTGTAGCAGGTAGAACCTCGAACCCGTGCCAAACCCCAGCGCCCACCAGCCAGGAGGCTCCCTTCCCGCCCCACATCACGATCAGATGAGTGTGCGCGTGAAGGCGAGTGTGCGAAGGCGAATGTGTGAGTGCAAGGGTGAATGTACGTGAACCCTGCACCCCCTCTCTTGCCCGCCCAGCGGATGCTGCCGCCTGCGCCCGAGAAAGGCGACCACTGTTATGAAGAGTGCAAAGAATAAATTACCTTTCGTAATCACCGGTCCCTGAGATGGTCCCATCAGTTGCTCAACAACCTGCAACCCGGTGCAGCTCTCCACAATCCATCCATTGAGCCCCGGGGCAAAAAAAGAAAAAGAAGAAGAAAAAAAAAAAAAAAAAAAAAAAAGAATCTGGACCGGCCCCAGTTTAGACACCCCAGCCACACCAAGCAAAGAATGATAATCAAAACGCAGAGACGGCAGGAAGGTGGGGACCTCACTCAAAGAAACAACAAAAAGTGTCTCTTCCCTTTCTTCTACACAGCCATGGAGAAAGGGGAAGCCAGGAAAGCCAAATGCTAGTCTTCCTTTACGTTTCCTCGCTTCACACGCCCCAGGGGGGCAAAAGCCAAGCAAAGAGAAGGAGGGTTCAAATGTCTCTCCCAGGGCACAGTTGCACAACTTCGGAGTCAGGCTGTGTCTCTGGCTGCAGCCGGCGGACCCAAGCGGGAGCTATTAACATGCGGCAGTCATAGCTAGGGCTGCTTTTCCCTTCTCTTGCAGCCGCCGCCGCCGCCGCCGCCGCAAGAAAAGCCGCTGCTGAGGAGACCAAAAATCTTCCACCATCCCCCCCAGCCGATCTTTATATCCAGTTCTCCCACCCCACCCCCCTTCTCTTTCTTTTTCTTCTTCTTCCTCGTCCTCCCCTTTCCGCCTCCGAGAGGGAGGGAGGGGATAGGTAGGGGCAGCGGCGAGGACCAGTAGTGGCTTCTCCGCCCAGCCCTCCTCGTCGTCCTCCTCCTGCTGCCCCCGAGGTGCTCCGGCTGTAGAGGGTCCGCTCTGCCGCCCACAAGCCGCTCGGAGAGCCCAGGAACCAGCCGCGGAAACTCCTTCCCTGGTGCACTGTGTGGACGCGCGGGCAGAGCGGGCGCCGGGCCGCGGAGGGCTGCGTGTCTGCCGGGGCTGGCAAGCCCCGAGCTCCGGTGGCGGCCGATCAGCTCGCCGGTCGTGCCGGGTAACTGCGGGCATGCGGGAGCATCATCGCGGGGCCCCGGCTCCGAGCCGCCGCCGTCACCGCCAACCGCCTCGGCCGCGGGCTTCGGTTCTTTTTCTCTTCTGGACTCCCCCGGAGCCACTGAGGCTCGGGGCGCCCTCCACACACGCACACGCTGTCCCCCAGCGCGCACGCGGACACACACACACACACACACACACACACACACACACACGAGCGAGCTCCTGCCACAGCACACCGTGCAAGCCCGCGCGCGCACACCCGGAGGAAGAGGTCCGAGGCCAACAAAATAAATAAATAAAAGAGAGAGAAGAAAGGCGGGGGGCGAGTCACAGGCGGTGGCGGCGGCAGCAGCTGCGGGAGCGGAGGCTGCGCTCAGTCCGCGAGATGCCAGCGGCGGCGGTGGCGGTGGCGGTGGCGGCGCCCTCCCGGCCCGGCCGTACCATCTGCCTCTTCGCTCCTGGGAACTGGAGGGAGCGCTGCTGGCCGAGCAGGCGGAGAGGCGACGCACCCGCAGACGGGCACAGTGCGCGCTAGTGGCCAAAGCAGCCGAGGCCGGAGTGAGGCACCGGCGGGGCGACGGGCGCGAGAGCTCCCTGGACCGGGGAGGGGGGCTCCAGCCGGAGAAAGGGGTGGCCAGCAAAACCCGGATCTGGAGTCCGCTAGGGCTCCGCGGGCGCGGGCTCCACCTAGCCGCTCCGCAGACGTTTGGAGGTGGAAACCGCGGGGAGGCTAAGGGAGGCTTTCCTTGTAGGTTTTGTCAGACAAAGGGTACCTCTCTCCAGGCTGGGAGCACGTCTCTCTCTCTCTCCTTTCATCCTCCCTCCCTCTCTCTCTCTCTCTCTCTCTCTCTCTCTCTCTCTCTCTCTCTCTCTCTGTCTCCCTACTCTTACCTCTTCCCTCTCCCTCCCTCCTGCTCTCTCTTCTTCCTCCCCTACTCAGCTTTAGGTGACTAAGGTACCAATCTGGGAGTTCTGCCATGGTCCTTATTACAGGTGCAAATTACTCCACGTGTTCTTTATGCGGGTGCCTACTTCTAAAACATTTCTTGCATTTGGTCCATTTGGTCAAACTTGACTGGGTGTAAAAGTTCGTGGCAATAATGAAAGCATACTTCTCCGAAAATGGAGCATGGGAATTAAATGGTTTTTATTTCATGATATCAATAAATATTACTATAAAGGATGTAGAAAAATGTCTTGATTCTACCTCTATGTTTTGTGCTGTGGTAAAGTTTGCTCAAGTGACGTGCATCAATTATTGAACCGCTTTGAGATGTTTTGGTTAATGAAATGGTTAAGGGTATAGATGTTTCTTTCTTTCTTTCTTTTTCTGCAATAAAACTTCATCCCTTCAAATGACTAAAGAGGTATTTTCTATATCAGCATACTCTAGAAATTAAGAATTATTCTATGAAGCCAACAAGTACATCGTGTCCCTACTGGTCTCCCAAGTTGCATGAGGTTGTATAATTTCATAATGATCTAATGTTCTATTGGGATCCATAACTTCTTAAATTTGTAACTTCAACCCCAGCACATCTGTAGAACCTAAAGGTCATCATAAATAGCTAATAATTTCCATCACAAATGATTATCAAAATTGCATTCATACTTCAAACTCAAGTGCTAGGCCATATTCCCCAAGATGCCTTTTCTCATCTATCCCAATGTTGAAGAAAATAAGTTCTTGGTAACATATGACATATGACATTCACACCACATCCATTATCTTCTCGGTGAAGATTGGGATTCTAAGTATCCACCAAAGTCCTTTATTTTAAAGGCTGGTCCCCAGCGGTTTGCTACAAGGATGGTAGAACCTTGAGGGTGTGACTTTGTAGAGGATATAGGGACCCCCCCAACCCCAACTTCTACTTCCTAGTCACTGTTAGGTGAACAGCTTTGCCATACAATTACAGGAATCATTCTGTACCACAGATACCAAAAATATAGAACTAATTAAACACTGACTGGGGCCTCAAACTGTAAGCCAAAATAAACATTCCCTCCCATGAGGTTGCTTTTCTTGGTATGCTATCACAGGAACAAAAGTGTGACTAGCTCCCACAGCACTTTGGTAGTACCTCTACCACAGTGCCTGTTCCATCCTGCATATCTTAAACAAATAGCTTCACAAATAATAGACTAGCAAATTGTGACAAGAGACCCCTAGATGTAAAGGAAACAAAAATGGTAACAACTCCGTTCTTATTTACCTTTTGCTTGATGGGTATATGTAGAAAAGTAATAGAAGAATAATATTTTTAAATGCATTAGATATACAGTAAATCAAATATATTAAATATTATTAATGAGGATAGGAGGAATATAAATAAAAATAAACCGAGAAGTCTGAAAGAATTGTGTTTACCAAAATGTGAAACATCTCACCTTAAAACTAGGACTAGTACCTTAAACAAATAATTGAAAATTGTTCATCCAAGACTTATTTTTGACCAAAAATAAGCAAAAATTTCAAAGATCATAATGATGATGGAGAAAGGAGAAAATGTGCAAAAAAGCAACCAATGGTTTTAAAAAGTAATGAAAAGATGACAAATGGTCATTTATATAGTTTAACTGTGTGTCAGCCTTGTAGTGTTTCACATCAGCTATCCATATTGTAAGCCCAAACATTACATTCCCAAGTCACTTTTGATATGATGAGCATAGTCTTTCATGTTTGATTAAGGTGTAAACGTCCCACTCAGAACTAGTAAATCTATGATCTTGCCAATATTTTCTCAGATGATTCTGCTTTGAAAGGAAAGGAAGTTCTGTATCTGTTTTACCCCCTACACAATTGTATTGAACTCCTCCTTGTTGGAGAAAGACAAAAGCAGATGAGTTAGGAGCACAGACACTTTATACTAAGTAGCTTCAGGCACACTGGAGTGGAGCATTTGAGAAGAACTTTCATCTGTGACACTAGAAGGAATTGGCTCTATTGCCATTCATCTAAGGAAAATGAGTGTTTACCAAATGCAGAGAAACTCAAAATGTTAAAAATCTAATTAAATAAGAACAGAAAAAATTTAAAATCTTAACAATGATTAAACTCTGCAAAGGATTCTTTTCAAATCAATAAGCAACATAAAGTTCCAAGCACCATGAAATTTTATTTAAAACATTGAAAAATTGGTGTACAGAATAGATACAAAGAGCCAGTAAACATTAGGAAATAGTTCCTGCCAAAGGAAATGCAGCATACAAAATTGTATACCATGAGAAAGTTGTTGTGTGTTGAACTTTTCTTGGGGAGAGACCAAGTGAGTAGACATATTTCTACTGACATCAGGAAGTAAGAAGTGCACCAATGTCCAATTTGGTGACCCTACCAGTATTCATTTGGGGTTTCCAACACAAGTATAGGTGATCAGTTACTTAGAAAATAGCAGTGGGGTTTGGTGTGGGTTATATGGGAGGATGGGAGGGTGAGGGAACTGGGATTGACATGTAAAGCAACCTTGTTTCAAAATTTAAATAAAAAAAGAAAAGAAAAGAGCAGTGATAAAATCAAAAGCTATTGTTTCACTGGAAAGGCCACCTGGATTGGAACCACAGAATCCTCTAAGCAACCTGCTACCTCTCCAAATCCATGACTTCCCTCCCTTCCTTTTTCACTCTTTCTCTTTCTTTCTTCAGTTTGTCTGTTCAGTCTCCAACTCCCCCCCCCCTCCCAGCTGTTTTTACTGTTGGCAGAGGCCCTCAAATATCTGAGAATCATCCAAATTTTTGTTCTGGGATATGTGACCTTTTGTTGACCACTTGTTTACCACATGAGTTTTCAACCTCAGTTGAAACATCTCCTTCCTCCTTTAGGGGCAAATGTTTCAATTCCCAGGGAAAGATGCACTTTGGAGGAAAATGAGGTACAATGGGATTTAGCATGTTTCGGTTTGCTCAAAAAAACCTTGCAATAGCAGCACTGTCTCATACTCTTTCTTCCCAATTATAGTTCCAGAAACTATGCCTACAAAATAGACAGAAAGACAAGAAAGCAAGAAGGGAAGAGAATATCTTGCCTCCAAAACCTTTTCCTGTTCATTCCATTCTCAGAAAGGAGATGTAGAGTATTCCAGGCAATCCTGTGTCCACCTGAAAAACTTGGGTTCTCTTTTCATTCCTGGCTCTTTCTCAGACCATAAATTAACATCATTCACACCCCTTGGCCAGACTTTTCATATTGTAGTCTCTCAGTAGACAAGTGACTAGATAACACAGGCTGAAGAGGATCCCTCCTTCATATAAAATGACCTTTCTTCTTCAAAAGCATGTAAGCACTTACAGGGTTTCAAATTACTGAGATTTCCCCATCAGGGGCAGTCCTCTAATACCCAATCAAGTACCAGAAGACAGCTACATTTTTAAATGCTGCAAGGCCTAAATACACTGACAAATCAAGGTAATCAGGGTGAAATCACATCTGCAGAACTGCCAGGGAAGCACAACACTTAGACTGCTAGTAAGAAGTGAATGATTAGAATTTTAAGGATTTGGGGTGCACTAGAGTGAAGACTTAGATATAGATCACACTGCATGGCCTATCAGAACATACTTTACTGTCCTGTGGGATAAATAATCTATTCCAAAAAGGCATCCAGGGACAGTAGAGACTTTTTATTTATTTAACTTCAAACAAAAGTTTATTACACAGAAGTTGTCACATCATTGGAGACTTCTTCACTTTGTGCATAGTTATTCTTACTTTCCACAGGAACCCTGCATTGGAATTACTCATCTGGTGACAATCCTGACCAAAACAGAATAGCAGAAAGGCCTCCATGATTTAAGTTGTGGGCAGAACACGGCATGCGGCTCTTGCACCCAATATCAGGAATGTACAAATTCAAAAATACAAAATAAATTATATGTAGGCATGGACAATGACACCAGTAAAGCATTGTATATTATCGACTGACACTAGCAACTGCTGGCTCTTATGATCAGCCAGCCTTTTATTCAGGCATTTATTTGAGGTGACTTCTTGGAAGTTATTGGTGAGGAACCTGTCTTAAGCTGTCACAGTTGATTGGTAAGGCCAACCTTTATTCTCAGCATTATAACATGCCACATCTCAGACCTGTTCCAATTCTTCCCATTGTTCCCACTCCAGAGTCCTCTTCTCTAGGAATTTCACTGTAGTTAGCATAGAGGCCATCCTTGCAGCATCCAGTAAAGCACTTCCTAAAGCTCTTACTGGATCAATGATTCCCCTCCCCTTCACGCCATGTTCACAAAATCCCCCAGCACAGCGCCATCTCTAACAATGTGAGACTTTGTAGAGTTTTCTCAATAATTAAAATTTCTTCAACACATACAGTCTTTGCAATAGTCACTGTAGCAATTTTGAGTGCTCCTTGAACAACCTGTATACCACTTTTCTGATCTTTATTAGCAGGCATTAATGAATTCAAGGCTGGATTGCACCAAATCACAATGAAACCCCTTCCTAGAGCAACAGCTTCTTCAACAGCTGCACTTGGAGTGTTGGGTGGCATCTCTAACTCTTTTCATTCACTTCAACATTGCTAGTTCCTTCAGCCTTGAGCACAGATACTTCATCTGAAGATTTAGCCACATGCTCATTTAACTTTCCCTTTTCATACTCACTGGTTATAGTGTTTAACCACTCAGTGATTTTTTTTAAAATATGTTTTTCTTTTTCAGTTTTTTGAGACAAGGTTTCTCTGTATTGCTTTGGAGCCTGTCCTGGGATACCATCTGTAGACCAGGCTGGCCTTGAACTCACAGAGATCTTTCTGACTTTGCCTCCCAAGAACTAGGATTAAAGTTGTGTGCCACAACTGCCAGTCTTTGAATATGTTTTTCTTTTTGAGCTTTGTCACCTTTTCCTTTCAGAAAACATGGTGCCATCTTTAGTGACATTGGCCTCTCCAACCTTTCCTAAGTCAATGCTCCTCTTCACATACTGTATCACTGGTAGCAAGCAGTATTATCTTTAAGCTCAGTCTGGCCCTAAGCCCTGGAGCTTTGACAGCTACAACCTGAAGACCCACTTTAGCTTGCTGAAAAACACTGTACTTAGATATTCTCCATCAGTTCCTTCCGTGATTATTGAAATGGCTTCTGGTGAGAGCAGGCAATTTTGAAAGCAGGTACAATGGACTCAGCCCTAGGAATGTCTTTTCACTCAACGGAATATAGGCATCTCTTGGAATACATAATTTTGACTTTTGGTGTGTTAATAAACTATGTGGAGACATATCTTCTATAAATGTCATGCCTTCAATAATTTCTGATTTATCACTCTGTTTTTCTATCCTTCACTGCGATGGGGATCTTTTATCAAACCCTTTTCATTGCATCAGGAATGATGTTTCCAGCTAGGCAGTGGTGGCACTTGCTTTTAATCCCAGCACTCTAGAGGCAGAGACAAGCAAATCTCTGTGAGTTTGCGGCCAGCCTGTTATAGGACAGCCAGAGCTGTTACACAGAGAAACCCTGTCTCAAAAGCAAAACAAACAAAAAGTATCCAGTATGTGTGTCCCCACTGGCAGAAATTGTAGTATCCTGAGCAGTTGCTCCAGGAGTTCTCACAGATTTTTACTGTGTTTTAAATTCAGCAATGTCAGTATCAACAGCAAGCACCACATCTCTCCCGATGTCCTCTGGGTTTGCACTTTGAGGGCTTTCTCAAAGTCCTCCTTGAAAATAGAACGTGCCAAAACAGTAGCAATCATGGGGCTGTGGTTCCTCCTCATTTATGTTATTGACAATGCTTTAAACAAGTGTAGCCCCGATTTGGGGGGGAGGGCCAGGGAGAGGAGGGGCACAGGATTTCTCTGAGTATCCTGGTTCTCCTGGAACTCCTTCTGTAGACCAGATTGGACTTGAACTCAATAGAGATCCCCCTGCCCTTACCATCCTGAGTGCTGGGATTAAAGGTGTACATTACCACTGCTGGGCTGTAGCTCTAATATTTTAATATTTATCCTTTAAATCAATTAACTTTGCAATTGTTACCCCATCCTTTGTTGCTTGGGGACTTCCTCAATTCGGTTCAATAGTCACTGTTCTTCTATTTGGCCTCATTTAACAGCTACACCATCAGCTAACATTAAGGCTAAGGCATCAGAACTAAATTCTACATTTTTTGGTATAAGCCAAATATAAATGAGATTAGGACACTGGACTCATCTGGTGAAAGACTGTGGGTAGACAGAGCATTTCTACTGGTGGTGATTGGGACCACAAGCATTGTGAGAAGGAACTTTTTAGATGGAATGAAATTATAAAATCTCACTCAGATTAGATTGCCCTACTCATTTTATATCTTCTATTCCTTCCTTTTTTTTTTTTCAAGTAATTCACTCTTTTTTATAATTCAAAAGATGGCCAGTGCATTGAGCAGTTTTAGAGACTTGGAAACTTAGCTATAGATGTAGATATACATGCTTGGGTATCCAATTGTGATTCAAGGTGTCACAATTTAGCAAATTTTGCCCTGAACACATGGCAATCTTTCAGCCTCAGTGTCCCAAATGCTAGGATTACAGGCACATGCACGTGACACCACAGGTGGCTTTTCAAATCTAAATATTTTCAAACAGCTTCTCTTCATTAAGTGGTCATTTTTTCCCCATATAATGTGTTTCCAATGGGTTAGTGCCCCTTCCAATGGGTTAACGTCCCTTGTAAGGAGTATGGGTTTTTCCGCCTGTCGCCGGTCTTGTCCCGCCGCCGAACCAGCCCCAAATAACATACAGAGAGTCTGTATTTGATATTATACTGTTGGCCCTTTTGTAAGCTTTTGTTAAATTTTAAGTGTAAGTTCTTATTAGCCACGTAGCTGATAATAACTGCCATGGCCTTAAAAGAAAGGATAGAATATTTGCTTCTTTGACAAACACTCATTTTTCTGTCCTCTTATTTTGCTCTCCCTCCCTTACAACTGTAATAGACACCAACATTTGACAACAACACCGATTACTTCTGCTTCTCTGAGATGATCCCTACACCTGATTTGGAGAATAACTATATGAAATAATTTTGTGCAAACTCTTTGATCCTGTTCATTGGCCATGGATGATTGCTCTAGTTCTGATCAAGTAAGTCCCTTTTAGCTAACCGGATTCTTATTACACAAATCTTTGTATTATGCCAGGCAGTGTCTCCTTACTGTACCAATATAAAGAAGTTCAGGAGCGATTTTTCAATTATTTATTTTTAATTTCATTTTATCTTCCAACTACAGTTCTCACTTCCACCCCTACTCTAGTCCTCCTCATGCCCCACCCCACCCCTAATCCACTCCTCTCAACAGGTAAGGGCTCCCATGAGGAGTCAACCATGTCTGGCACATTAAGTTGAGGCAGGACCATTTCCTTCCCCCATGCATTAAGCTGAGCATGTCTTCCCACCATAGGGAATGGACTCCAACAAGCTAGCTCATGCACCAGGGTGCTATTTTTAGTGGACTAAAATTTTACGTTCAAAATTCATATGATTTATCCCAACCCCCTACTGGACGATATTGTGAGACTTTAAAAGACAACTGGGTAATGAAAGTGGATCCCTCAAAAATGGGTTTATTTAAAAGAAAAAAAAAGGAATGGGATTATTACTAGTAAAAACTGGACTTCAAGAGAATACACAAAAATCTTGGTGTTAGCAAAGATAAAAAGGATCCTTAGGTGGAAGACATGATTAAGCAGCTAAGGGTGTTTACTGTTCTTGCAAAGGCCTGGAGTCCAGTTCTTAGTACACAAAACCAGGCAGTTAATAACTACTTGTAGCTCTTATTCTGAGGGATCCAGTGCCTCTGTGGCTACCTCCACTAATATGCATATGTGCGCACACACACAAAATCTATCTATCTGTCTGTCTGTCTATCTATCTATCATCTACCTATATCTATCTATCCACCATCTGTCTATGAAATAAAGATTTCATTAGACCCAAGAAAACTAATAAATGGGTGTTTATTGGAGAACACTTATACAGATAATAATAAATAACTGTAGAAGTACTTCTCTGCCTTTCCTATCAGATCTGCTGGCCCAAGGGAAAGAGCTTCACACTTCCCTCTTTCCACTTCTATCTGCCTGAAACCACGCCCAAAGGAGTGTGGTCAACCATTACAGGTTTACCGGCAAGATGCAGCTACATGTCTATATATCATCTATCTATCTATCTATTTATCTATCTGTCTATCTACTATCCATCTATCATCTATCTATCTATAGCTCTCTTACATAATTTAAAATAAGAATATATTTTTAAAAATAAAAGAAAATGACCCCATTTAGAAGTAGCATGCTGATACTGTGATTTCTTATATCCAGCACCTAGAAATGTATGGAAACAAATGTCTGTAACACAGAAAAGCTGGCACATAAGCATTTTCCTGGGCTACATGAACAAATGGCTTCACCTGTGTAAACAGTGCCAATAACAGACCAAGAAAGATTCTACCAAGCTCTAGAATTTGGGTAACCACAAATCAGAATCATGACCCCCAAATCACATGGAAGCATGGGTGAAGACTGCCCTGTAGGTGCATAAAGAGAGCTCCTCCTACAGCCAACCTTCTCCAACCCACAAGCTCTAGTGCCTCATGGAGTCATCTGCAGAGGGGATTCACATACAGTGACTGCTAGTACAAGGGCGAGTAGTTAGAATCTCTGGGGAAAGTTCGGTTATGCTTCCTACTCCCCTTTTATATAGGAATAGGGGAGGCTCTATAGCAAGGGTAGGGATGAGGCACATGGATATCCTTGGGAAGGGGAATAGAATAGATTTTTCATGTGGACTAGGAACAAGTGGGACAGGAGGGGAGGGTTCACGTGTGGAAGGGAGAAGGGACAGAGGAAAGAATGTGGCGAGAGACAGCTAGATTTGGATGGCATTTATGGGGTGGGGTGGAATCTTCCTGGAATCTATGAGGGTGACCCTGACCCTTGTGAAGACTTCTACTAATGGAGGATATTGTATTAGGTAGAGTTGTTGGCTGAGGAGGTCTCCTGGAGGTCCCCAAACAACCCAGGCTCATTATAGGATGGAGGGAGAGGGTCTTGCTAAAGACAACATTTGCATAGCTCACCAAATGTAGAAATATAGAGCTGGTGCCTGCATGGAGCCTTACCCCTATGCTCTAGTATCTTTGGTGCAGAAAGAAACTAAGTAGGTTACTGAAAGAGAAACCTGAACACCTACCCAACCACAAAACCTTTGACTTAAAATCTATCATGCCTACCAGATATCCTGGGGCAATGGTGTTGCAGAACTTCTTGGAGTCCCCAAACAATGTCTGTTAACTTTATGCCCAAACCATGAGAGGGAGTACATGCCCTATATTGGATGGCCAGAAATCAGAGAATGTATAGCCTAGAGACCTAGGGTAGAACCAAACACAACTGCCCCCCCCCGCCTCAAATCAATGCTATGATTCCTAATGATATTCTGCTATACTCAAGATTAGTGCCTTGTCCAGTCATCATCAGAGAGGCTTTCTCTGGCAGAAGATGGACACAAGTGCAGAGACCCACAGCCAGCATTATGCAAAGGGTCTACATTGCAGGTCTCCATTGGGTCCTTCCCCTTGGAAGAAGGAGAGGAAAGACTGTAGAAATCAGAGGGAATAGAGGATACTAGAAGAACATGGCTCACTGCACCAACTAGGCATGGCTCATATAGGATCATAGAGACTGAAATGGCAAGCATGGGGACTGCATGGATCTGCACCAGGTCTTCTGATACATGCCATATCTCTTAGTTTGGTGTTATTGTGAGACTCCTAACATTGGGGGCAGGTTGTCTCTAATTCTTTTGTCTGCTCTTGGGACTCTTTCCCTCCTATTGTATTGCCTTGTCCAGCCTTGATATAGAGGGCCTTTGACTTGTCTTATTGCATTTTTATTTTTCATGTTTGGTTGTTGTCTCCTGAGTGCTGCTCCATTCCAAAGGACAATGGAGGTGGAGTGGATCTGGGGGACAGGGGAGTTGGGGGAAACACAGGGAGTGGAGAGAGGGAAAACTGGTCAGCATATTTTGTATAAGAGAAGACTCTATTTTCAATAAAAAATAATCTCTCACAGTCAGTCACAGCTTCTCTTTGGAGAATAATGGTTGTTATGTATGATTGCTGCTCAGGCTGTGATTCTTTATTGTAGCTCCCCAAACTAAACCATTCCTCATGACCACATTGTCTGTTACATGGAGAGTATCTGAACATGACTTAGTGCAACATTTTTTGAAGGATAAACTGAATAAAATAAACACTGCTAGACTTCTTCAGAATTGCCTGCTTTCTTCCATCTATATTTAAACTCTCAAATCGGATATCCACTAGGGGAAAATTCTGTGTAGCTGTGCAGCAATGCTGCTGGCATGCAATCTGTGTCTCAGTGATATCTAGGAAATTACGTTTCTTTCATATTGTGTCCTGAAAATTCTTAAATGTGAGTTTGGAAACTGCGTACTGCACTATTCTTCTGAAAGTGTCAGTCCCATCTTTTCAGCAACAACAATTAGATGTCTTTTCATTTCTACATCTTTAATTATGTGTGTCATTTCTCCTAAATAACACAATTAAGACTAGAAATAAAATATTTGTTATTTTCTCCATAAAAATTATAGTAGTCCAGCCATTAGTAGACCTTCCAGAAATGCCAAGTGTACATAATCTGTAATATTAAGTTAGTAGACTATCTATTGAACTATAATTAATATATTTACCATTCTATAAACAATACTTGCAAAT